CGTGGGTAAACAGTACCGGGGTGAAGAAAGGCCCTGAAACAGAACCAGTGCAGTCAGAGGACAGCGTGTACTTTCTCATGCCGTCTGTGAGCTCACCTCTCTCGGTCGTGTCAAAGTACCGTCCACGTCAAACAAGCACAAGATGTTTCGGTCAGACGAGAAGCCGTTTGATTTCTCCATTTCTTCTTCTCTTTTCTTACTGACAGATTCTGATTTCAAGTACTACAGGTACAGTCCCGGGCAAATAAACACACAGTCACATGAGGGAAATGAATGGGAGGGTTCTGCTGTCAGTTGAACTTTTAAAATAAATAAAATAGACCTCGAGGTTTTAAATAAGGTGAGTTATCTCCTCTACTGCGAGATGACAGCCTCTTCCTGGTCTTGGAGTCCACAGTGCAGTTTATCTCGGCTCGGCTCGGTCCAGCCCACACTTCAACACATCGCACGCTGCTGGATACGTGCGGATTTTCGCAGCATTGTACTCGCAGTGGCGCTGACTGTACATCACCCTGCAGCCAATCACAGCCAGGCTGCAGGCCGTGATGTCACAAAGGGGGCGGGGTAATTCAATATGCATTCTAGTCGTCAGCCCGGTGAACTTTCGCCTACATGTAGAGGAGGTGATGGATGCAGCGCGGAAACACATCAGGAAACAGTAAAGTTTCAGTTTTTGTTACCTGATGTTCAGTTTTGTATCAGGGAGGTGTTAATTCAAACGTATGTACATTTTGGAGGCCCATCTCATTGATATCACTGAGGGGAGGCTAAATAACAGAAGCATTAGATTCAAGATTCAAAGATTCAAAATGTTTATTGTCATATGCACAGTATAGAAACGTGTTTCCCTTCACAGTGAAATTCTTACATTGCCATCCACCCTGAATGCCAAACAACACAAGTGAAATATAAATGAGATAAACAGTAGCACAGAGTCTAAAGGCACTTTAAGCAGCAAGTGCAAAGAAATATAACAAGTACATGAAAATATATATTACAGGTTCACACAATTCAAAGTGACTTCCAGACTTCTCTTCATTCCAGTGTCTGTTAGACGGTGAAACTGACAGAGTTGACATCCTATTCTATATTCAATATCTAATAGGACAGACATGTTATTATTATTAAATAATACAACAAATGAAAATGGCACGAGGCAAAAGTACTGGGACTTAACCTGTGGTTTAGCACATTCACTGCAATCAAGCTCTTAATCAGAGGCATCAAATAACTGAACCATGTTTTGCAGTGGCTTCTTTTCTTTGAAAGGTTCCATTGTTCTTTTGTCAACATAGAGCTGATGCGATCAATCAATTTGTTTCTTCTGTACAAAGAACAGTCAGCAAACTGCACTCAGTTTTTTTATCTTCCTCCTTCAACAGTGGCTCTTCTTCCACTGAGCCTCTTTCATTCAGAAAGCTGCAAATTTGCACTGTTGGACCTGGATCTTGCAGCTCAGCCTGCATCTGTTTGGAAGGTTTCCCTGGCTTTTCTTCCACCATTCACACTCCCCTACTGTTCTGTCTGGGCCTAGTTTTCCTCATGTAGCTGGAAGTCAGCCACCGTCCCACTGACCTCAGTGACCTCTGACCTCTTAATAATATTGGCAGCTGTGATCACAGGAGCAACAGACTGCTTGGACAGAGTCTTGTGGCCTTCACCTGGGCCATGCATGGCAGTTATTGTCTTACTTTCTCAGACTTCTGATAACTCTTCACTGGTTATTAATACTGTATTAAGCTTCCATGCAGCATCTTGTCTCCACTGAGCCAGTACATCCACAAGAGGGCGGAATGGGACAGAGGCAGTTCCACTTAGGAGAACTAAGATGATAGGGTTGATAAAAGTTATAACATAGTTGTGCTCTAACAAAAACACAGTATTTGTTAGAAGATACAGCGAATTACAGTGATGCTCAGTCCCTGTTATGTACTGTCACTACATTTCTCACCCTGTCTGTACAAATGCACATGCACAGTGTCACACTGAAGTGATGAGCTGGTCGGTGGGACAGAGGAGGGCAGGGCACTCATACAACAAGCTGCATGCCTTCATATATAACAATATTTGTTTTACATGTGTAAACGAGAAACAATTACAAGGGAAATGTATCAACAATGTGCTGTGGAAAATATTATGAATTTTGAAGCAAATGTTTGTTATTTAGATTTAGAAACAAAGCAAAACTGGAAATTGTAGCCGACTTTGTCAGGACTATAAATATTACACCTCCAGTTTTACATGAGTTTTTGTTTATTTTAATTAAAACAACATTTAACCACCACAATTTTACAAAGGTCAAACTGTGTGTGAATTCTTGTCCAGGGCAGTTCTGCAGCAGGCGCTTCACACGGGCACCATAAATCACTTGTAGCTTTAATCTTTTCTGCATTTCATAGTAATCACTCATCTCCAGGTTCACCCGGTTCAAAACACAAAGCAGTGTGACCCTTTTGGTGCAGTGTATGACATACAGTACGTACTTTGCTGTATATGTAGAATACCTCCATATTTGTTTAGGTCAGACAGTTACAGTATTTATGCACATGATTTATTAGTAAGTTCCCAATCAATATGATCAAATGGTATGACAAAGGAGGCAACAGAGGGCTATTACTGACTAATCATTAACAGACTAATGATTAACTTCTGAAATTACAAACTCTTTATCTGACTTTGACCTCAGTTCACATTTCTTTCTATCCCACCACACAGGGTCTTATAGCTTTAACCTTTTTTTAAAGAGTTAAGGCTGTTTTCTATTTACTGACAACAAATCTCATGAAAAGAACCAAACCAACAATGTATGTCTCTCAAAATGTTCTCATGTCCCTGCTCGGTCTGTAGGTCCCCTGATCTGCCTCCTCTTTGTTCCTACTGAAGCTGTAAACCTTTAAAAACAGGCCACAACAATATTTCATGTTTAAAAAAGGCTCAGCAACTTTGTAAAACTGTTTGGAACTATACATTTTAGAGAAATAAAGGAATAAATAGTGCATTTTGGGGGCTAGTTTTGGACAAAGATTACTAGTTAATGAATTAAAATATTTATCCATATGAGTCTTTTCTCTGAATTTTCCATCTGTATGCATTTCGTTGCCTTGTACTTGTACATGGGTAATGACAATCAAGTTGAATTTAATCTAATTTCCAACTAAAGCTGAACTCTTAGTCTGACTTAGTCTCCCCCAGAAATAAGTCCATTTGAAATGGTTTCACCGTCCACGCACCAAAGTAGTTTGTTCATATGCTTCCACTGATTTACTGATTCTGTAAATGAAAATCAAAACACTTAAAGTAGGAAGTGCAACTTTGTCTTTACAGACACTTGAAAAAGAAAATGTTAAACTATCAGAATAATTTGATATATGACAGATTTTTTTTAGTACTGGTGAGAAACTTAATTGTCTGAGTGTAAAGGGGTCGAGGAGGTGAGACCCTCAAGATTCACAAGAGTGTGAGACTGTTAGGAGAGTAAATGGCTGTGTGTCTCAAGCCAAATGTGCTATTACAAGGTCATACATATGTGTTTGTTTAAGACCTTTATGACCCTGGAAGGTGTGGCCAGACAGGAAGATGATGTACTGTACTGGAAAGACAGGAGCATAAATGTGTATACTTGTTTGTTTTGTGTGGTAGAATCACACAGCTTTTTCACGTATTGCGGTTTTGGTATCAATTGTGAGTTTATTAAAGGAAACAAAACAGCACGAACACCTGTTACTTCCAGATGTTGGTCTCCATGTAGGCAGCAGAGCTTCTGGACAGATGGCGATTTTTTTTTCTGACAAACCAGACATTCTGTACAGAAAACAAAACCACATTTCAGTTCATTTACACATTGTAAAAACAGCTCTTATCTGAGCGATAACTTTGAACCACTAGGAGTCATGGTGTGAAAAAGAGGAGTCTGACACAAGCAACAGGATATTTATCGAAGATGGCATAGGCAGATCAAAAGTCAATATTGTAAAAGATACAGCAAATAATTATGAAAAAAGACTAAGGAAGTTGATGAAAGTATTATTTGAAACAACAAATTATTCCACCAAATATCTGAGATCACATTTGTTTGGAGACTGTGTAGATCGACGTGTACTAACAAGCAACTGCTACAAAATAAGAGAAGGAAAACAAAGGACTTTTATTTTTTGACAAGCTGTTATTCTGTCGCCTCAGAAAATGTGACAGTTATTTTCTTTGTCTTACTGTAACATTAAAACAAAGTTAATATTTTTGGATATTGGACTGTTGGTCAGACAAGCAGAGACATTTCATAACATCACGTTTAGGCTCTATTGTTTTTTGGTGAACAATCAGTCAGGAATAAAAAACAATTTAACTGCTTTGGACAACATTAAAACTTCAGGGCACAAAGGAGTTAGCTACAGGCTTTAGCTACACAGACCACACTGGATGAATTTAGTGCTGGTTCATTGTTGAATAAGAAAAGTATAGAATACCACCTTATCATTAACAGGAACTGATCACTTTCATTATGACCTTAATGGTGCTTTGGCAAACCTCAGGTTGTGAGGGCATTATTATGCATATAAACACATGAATCATATGTCTAAGAATACAGAATGTTAATTTTCACCATCAGGTGAAATTTTAAAGATGTGCAAAACATTTGGATGTGCTGCACCTTCCACCCGAACAAATACAGTAACAATAATGAGTTCTATTTGCAGTTTATGGCTTTGAATTGTGTATTACACAGTGCAATGTACTGTAAAGATTAAAGCTGGTTTTCTCTAAATGAGGTAACAATGGTTAACGAACAGTTTGGCCAAGACTTTTATAGGCTGAATCCACCCTGGTTTTATAGTAGACAATATTTATAAGCCCTGCACCTTCACTTTTATGGCTTCAACTGACCTTTGCCTCTCTCATCACACACGATTTGCCCTGCCTCTGCTGGGACTGAAACATGTTCAGACTAGTACTGATTCCATCATTTACAAATCTGTTTTCTGTGACCAGTTTGTACAAGTCGTGACTAGGGTTAATCTGCTATTATCACATAACCAGCTTGCAAACTTTTCTTCTCCTACCTACTTCAGGCTATTACTGACAAACCACTCATTACTGTAATGGAGACTTGGGAATAATCTTTATGTTATTATATAACAGGAGATGTTACATAGATGTAGGCCTAAACTTCATATTTACAAACTGGGTGAATTATGCTCTCAGGAAGTTTCCAAGTAAAGCATCAGTCCAGATGCAGGGCGGGCGTCTTTCATACCCGGCCCTCCCTCTGCCTGGTGCACTGACTGTCACTTGACAGTTGTTCATTAACGTTTGGAGGACAGGTAGACCAGCCTGTATAGGTGGAGGATTATTATGCTCACGCTTTCACTAGAGGAACAAAACAGATTTGTCTTCAATCCACATTTTCTCTTGTATTTACTGGAAGTGGTTGAGATCAAGTTCTTTGACAAACCTTTGTTTTCTTCTCTTATCCGGATGCTGGACTGTGAATAAGGAGACAGTGTGACTTCTGTTCATTTCTGTTTTTGGACTTGTATCATCAGAGGATCTGAACAAAGTTAAATATTTTTTGACATGCAGAAACTCTGTGAAAAAAACACACAATTCTGAGGGAAATTTGAAGTTTCATGATGTCCAGCTCACACAGTTTACCTTATCTGGGAGTGTTGATAATGGCAGCATTCGCTAACAAGATGCTGGATGACTGTTTGTCATCAAACCGAAAATACACCATGAATGTTGTACTGCTGGATGACAACAATTACGAGTGGAGTCGGCAGTATGTGGAGGCGGCTGTGGAGCATGCCATAGAAGTGGACAGGCAGGAGAACGTCAAACATGGTATGGACTCAAAGTTCCTAAATATAACAGTTTCATAAAACCTACAAACAAATGCTTTACAGCACCCAACAAGAACAAGCTTGCAAAGACGTAAAACAGAGAACATTTCAAGGCCAAAAAAATCCCATCCTGGCTATCAGATTGAGCCAATGTAAATTTATGAGAAATGTTATGATCCAAGTGATATGGTCCAGTGATATCACCTCAGCAGAGATTATATCACGGGGGGTCAGTGTCTTGCTCAATGACACTTCGACATATGGACTGGACAAGCCGGGAATCAAACACTGCTCCAGTTAGGAGACGACCCACTCTACCTCCTCGGCCACAGCTGCCCTGTTTAACTCACTATTACTGTATAAATAAAATAAAAACTTTGAGTTGTCCCTTAGGAAGATGGATGATGAATTTTTTTTTTGACAGATAAAATAGTCAAATATTTAAATAGATTATAAAATAGTTTTTAAATGGGGTTTTAATTTTAACAATTAATTTATCTGCATTTTTGCCAGTGTTGTGTCTGACAGACGTGAATAAAGACTCCTGGTATATTCGAACAGTCTATTGAATTGAACACTTTTACGCAGCAGCAGTACGACACTTATGTATTCAGTAACGCCATTTTGGAACGCTCTCTTCTTCGCACATCTTTTATCAACACTTGTACAGCAGCCTCTCTGGCAGCACAATATAGAAGTACATATCAGGACACAACAGCCAGTATTTAAAAACATGCATACAGTGCCTTTGCGAAAGTATTCGGCCCCCTTGAACTTTGCGACCTTTTGCCACATTTCAGGCTTCAAACATAAAGATATAAAACTGTAATTTTTTGTGAAGAAACAACAACAAGTGGGACACAATCATGAAGTGGAACGAAATTTATTGGATATTTCAAACTTTTTTAACAAATAAAAAACTGAAAAATTGGGCGTGCAAAATTATTCAGCCCCCTTAAGTTAATACTTTGTAGCGCCACCTTTTGCTGCGATTACAGCTGTAAGTCACTTGGGGTATGTCTCTATCAGTTTTGCACATCAAGAGACTGAAATTTTTGCCCATTCCGCCTTGCAAAACAGCTCGAGCTCAGTGAGGTTGGATAGAGAGCGTTTGTGAACAGCAGTTTTCAGTTCTTTCCACAGATTCACGATTGGATTCAGGTCTGGACTTTGACTTGGCCATTCTAACACCTGGATATGTTTATTTGTGAACCATTCCATTGTAGA